TGTAGTTCACTTGTGACTTTATGTCAAAACATGGCTCCAAGAGTCAACTTTCTTTGTTCTGGTTAGTTTCGAGAGTGTCTAAATCAAAAAGATTAGAAATGTTTGATCACAAGGACTTTTGTTTTACAAAGATTGGGGAAAGCGTAGTTGCTTCGGCAACAATATGAAACAAGACTACACAATTAGCAGAATTTTCTCAAGAAAGGTCACTGTTAGAAATCGAAACACTACATCATTTATGTGAACTAGAACACAAATCTTACTATCTCTTGCTTTAGCAGTGATTAAAACACCTTAAGAAGGATACCTCTTATCATGTATTCGCTCTAATTTCATTGGTTATGAAGGAAATATCCTCTGATATTAGACTTTGGATCTGGAAAAAGCCATAATGTAGATAAGCTTAACCCAAACGAAGATAAAAATTATCTTCTCACTCCATACCTTACTTTAATGCCACCCTTAGAGAAACTTTCTCCCGCAAGTATAAGCGCAATCACTCGAAACCCTAAAATAGATTTACAATAATCAAAATCAGATTTAGAACACCACATTCGAACACAACAATTTGAAGAACTCCTCACTAAAATGGACAAAATCAAAAAACACTCAATTGATCAAAACCTCTGCAAACTCGCTGAACCAGCAGGATGTTCAGAAATCTATCGACAAGACAACAATGGATATTGTCAAGACATTAAAGACTATATTTATTTAAATGGAGAAAAATACCACCCACAAGATAAATCACCAATTAATGTTTTTATTTTTTTTTAAATATCAAAAATGAACTCCTAGCATTTCTAGGGTGGCCCTAATATAGATTGATTGTATTATAAGCAATGTTTAATTTTATAAGCTTTCTCCTCTCACTACTTAAAGGAATTTATAATACATGCGCAAAAGACACACAAGTCAATAGACAAGCTAGCGTAGCAAGAATTTTATTCGCAGGATTTTTTCCCACTTCTAGTAACAAAACTCTTCTTGATGCACAAATTAGGGAATAAAAAAAAACTATGCACAAAATCAAATGCATACGATACTCCACAAGACAATACGAATAATAAACTAACAGCACCATCCAATTTATAGTTTACAAAAAAAAAACCACAACATTAATAATACCACAAAATTATAGAAATACTCTTTCTACCACCGAACGAATGTTGCATAAAAAAACCTAAAACGTAGCGCTATATCTCATATAGCAGTTCAACAACCTACAACCGATGATACAAACAATCAAATTGTAGAACAAACGCACACTTTAACCTCTTTCCTATCTATCCAATCTCCAACGTCACGATTCCCTTGTAACAATTTTTGACCTCCCCCACCAGTTTTTCTTCTTACTCACCAATCATGGACTGACGACTCAACCCGATCTGTTTTCAATACTAACTCCAATTTGAATAACTCCACAGTAGATACACCCGATGAACTCCTAGATTCCGAGCCCAGTGCCACAAATTTTTTTCTAACCAACTTTCCAGCCTATAACTCCCCCTACTCCTGTTGAAAACTCTACCTCCGCCTCTTCGCACATTGACGCTATCCCTATCCTTTTTCCTCTTTCAAGTAATGCACCCGATGTATCTAGTTCCATCAGAGATGACCAGCGTGAGCATGACCTAGACGATTTTATTACTCACCAGCAACAAAATTATACCAATAACTCACTTACTATTCACCTACTCACCCACTCCGCCTCAACCTCCGATTCATCCATCTCCTCTGTCCATATTGCCCCAACTCGTGCACAAAAAATTTTTATGAAACGCCAACATCCTAATATTATACTACAATGTCCAATTAACCGGCCATCATCATCCCGACTCCTACACCATCATCCACGCTATACTAATTCAACCGCATTTTTAAGAGAAAAACTTCCCTTTTTCCCCAGTACACCTATTACAACGGAGAAATTCAAGACCAACGAGCCCAATATGTTGATGAATATTCCCTACTAGCAACCCTGTCATGGATATGATATTATAATTTCACTTATCCCCTAAAAGTTCCCCTAAGAAAGAATACAGACAATGAGCTTTGCGATTCAACTAGTAACCAATTAACTCACGCACTCCATCTAAGTCAAGTCACAAACATAGGCTTAAATCAAACACTTAACCGATTCATTGCACCAAAAGCTAACCGAAATTCTTTTAATCACTACTCACCCACTCCGCCTCAACCTCCGATTCATCCATCTCCTCTGTCCATATTGCCCCAACTCGTGCACAAAAAAATTTTATGAAACGCCAACATCCTAATATTATACTACAATGTCCAATTAACCGGCCATCATCATCCCGACTCCTACACCATCATCCACGCTATACTAATTCAACCGCATTTTTAAGAGAAAAACTTCCCTTTTTCCCCAGTACACCTATTACAACGGAGAAATTCAAGACCAACGAGCCCAATATGTTGATGAATATTCCCTACTAGCAACCCTGTCATGGATATGATATTATAATTTCACTTATCCCCTAAAAGTTCCCCTAAGAAAGAATACAGACAATGAGCTTTGCGATTCAACTAGTAACCAATTAACTCACGCACTCCATCTAAGTCAAGTCACAAACATAGGCTTAAATCAAACACTTAACCGATTCATTGCACCAAAAGCTAACCGAAATTCTTTTAATCACTATGATCATATTCGTCCGAGATATGGATGACTCACCATATGATACTGACCCTAACGTAAATACCCAACTAATCCAAAACTTTTTCATAAAATCTGAATACATCTTTAAAAAATTCGATCACATCGACCACGCACTAATGAATAAAAAAGCTTACGAACCATTTTTCAGTAAGCTTGATCACTTTGCACTTAACATTTAATTTTCTAACACCAAAAGAACGAGATAATAACTGTTCTCATGATGTTATGTTGAAGACTAAACTCACAAAACTAACATTTATTATCAATTTATCCAACGACACTATCATCACAGTTCACCATCCCGCAATCCCCACCACCGCTTCATGTTTATTACCCCTTAAAATACATCACCTTACTTTCTAAGTTTCACATATTGCATTAACTCATTTAACTTTCACGGCGTCCTACGTAACTATGATCCCGTGAGACAAATGTACATCTTTTGCCCCTGACTAATCACTTTCCGCTTGAAGACTCCTGCTCCATTTTTATCCCGCATGAGTATATCCAACCCGTTGAAATTGCCCTTTTAAAAACATTCATAACTCTAAAATCAATCACAAATTTTATAAGCTCATCCAAACCACGAATTTTCCGCAGTCACCGAAGATGTCAATAGCGTCTGCGCGCTTGAACTTCTTTGGCCACTGCTTCGCACTAAAAATGTTATAAGCATGCTTGCCAAGCTTTTAATAAGTTCTGACACTGTTGAAACTAACTTTCCCCGTGGATTTTTTCCCGACCCAGAATCTTCGTAAGCATGATTTCATATTCTTACTAACCCAATAAATAAAACCAGTTATCTTTTTTACACGTGAGTTTCACCTTTTCGTTTTAGATTTCACCAGTCATCAATCTAAAAGAATAAAATAAAAAAAAGAATTAAAAATCAATGTATGAGAAAGTCTCAGGTACCCAAACCAGATTAAAGTTGGATAAATTATTCTTTTGAAGCTCGCTTCAAAGTTTAATTAAAACCACTTGGAACACAAAAAATCGTAAAAAATCACACAAATCACGAAATATGTTTTTGAAAAAAGGACACAACCAAAGAACAAAAGAAAAAACACCTGATAAAAAAGAACAAAAGGTTGAACACGAAAAGAGACTGCTTAAAGAGACGGTGAAAATTTACTCCCACAACTGGCCTAACCCAACAGTAAAGGAGTTCCTGAGCATGCTCTATAGCCGGCCTCACCCACCGCGCTAAACCACTCTTATGACACTCACCTTATTTTTGACAAGAGTAGCTCTAGTGAGAGCAACTCTTTAAATTAAATGAAAATAATAAACGCTCTTGCGAAAATAATTAATTACAATCACAACTAAAACTGAGTTCACTAACAAGGTGCACATATAAATAAAAAATGTTTAAAAAGTCTTAGAGCAAAAGGGACGAGCAGCAAAGGGAGATGAAACTAGATGACATTCCGACTCTGGAATGGCAAATCTATTGGTTTGTTGCCGTAGTCAAGACCCTCACAGGATTTAAAGTATGGAACCAACATGGCAACAAAGGTACCCATTGAACAAGAACAATGTCCAAATCGATGTTGGACTCACTTACGAATCCTAGTCACTTGGCGCTTCACACAGAGAAGTCAAAACCTATCTCGCTATTAGATGACTAGTTGAGAATGCACGCAGTCTCGCTCTACTTAATGAAATCAACACGTCACTGTATAATTCTGCAACCTTGACACGATCATTCAACTCAATCATGATACACGAAACCCACTTCTGAAATACGAGCAACAGTACCCCTTCTCTCCTTATGCAGACAACTACTGCACAATACGAGCAACTGTTTCTTTCTCTTCCTTCACGCAACCACTGCTTCAAAAGAATCTTATCCATAGAATCAAGAAACTTTTCCATCCATCCTTCACAAGATTAAACACTTCAAAACTTTCTAAGCCCCGGATGGCTGGACCCAGTTCAAAACAAAAATTTATTTTATTCTAGTATATTCTTGATAAATTCTCTGTAAAATACTTAGAACTAACCAATCATGATCCATTTATAGTTTCGGCCAGAACAGAATAAATTTAACTTATCAAACAGTTGCTCCGCCTAAGAACAGTTCTTGATATCAAGCCTCGCAAATACCAGTATACACTAGATCTATTGAGACAAGGAGATATAAGAGTAAGATTAAGATTGGTATAAGACTAAGAAATTGCAAATAAGCGGCCAATAATAAGATAGCGTGACGAACAGACGGTGCACCTTATCTGAAATTGCTCTATGAGTGAGCCACCCCAAACTTGAACTCACTTTAATGCTTGAAAAAACATGAAACCATAATTTTCTCAACCTGTGAGTGAGACACTGTCTGCGAATGTTCCATCTATACTGAACAGTACAGCCTGCACTCCTCTGGGGGGCAACACACAGAGAGTGGCCTTGGCCCTGGACAGATCCCCGGGACATAGTGCCCGCACACTGTAGAGTCCCTGCTTCAACTCGGCCGAGCGTGTGAAATTGAACATCACTCTACCTATCAACAAAACTCAATCTGACCCTGCTACTTTCACATCACGAACATCAAATTTAAGTTTGAGCAGCTGCGTATTTGTGAACATTTTTGGACCCCAGAAAAAACGCTTGCACTCCCCTTTTGTGATAAAATGATTTATTCACGATGGTAAGAACCAAGCTACAAGTTGTTCTTCTTTCCGAAAGACCTATTGTGCCCCTGGTTAAATATTACATGAAACTTTCAATTCTGGGCAAGCAATAATTAGAACTAAAGTGAACTTGGACTATCTATCTTAATTTAGGCCACCTATGGGAGTCCAATTTGTCATCATTGCAAGAGCATCGAACTTAAAATTGCAAACCAAAGAGAGTTTAATCAAACTGAACCAATGAATTTCTGTATACAAACTACGGGTACCTTTGGAACCTGTATGTATCTGTCCAATTTTGGACCAGTCAGAATTTGCCTCGTCTCCCACTTCGTTTCGAAAGTCGAGTTCGATCGTCTCGCGAGACAGTTTCGAGACAAACACTCCCACCCTGTAGCCGAATCTGCCAATGATCATTGCTTCGTTTCCCACTGTGATTGCCATATCGTTTAGTACATGCATAGGAGGGAAGCTCTTCGCCTTCCTCGCGGAACTCCTAGAAAACCAAACAGCTGTTTAAGCTATTGAAATGAATCTATTTAGCGGACGTAAAAAGTTAATGGTTAGACCAGGCAAAGTAATGATGTAGTCTGATAAATATTTACAGATTTTTCAAATTGATGATTTAGTATGATTGCTTCACAATAAACAAAACAAAGGTTCCTATTCTTGCTTTTAGCCCGAACTGATTGTTTTTAAAAAGACATTCCGATTTTCAAGAATTTTCCTTTTAAAACGAAGGCTTTTATGACTAGGTTCAAAAACGTGGACTCATATAAAATGGGATATCAATTACTATGTGACATAGGAGCATGTGGGCGTTAATTGACCTAAAAGTGTTATTATTTGCAAATTTTTGACGTCAAATCTAGCTTGAGTTAGCGTATCGAAATATATGTAGAGATTGTAAAACAATTGATATGAAATGAACAAGAAGAGCTTCTTAGGATTCGTAGCGGGACAAACTGCACGATTAAGCTTGACATTTGGAGGATGTGTGATGGGTTAGATTAACTGATGTGTGGTGTATTCGTTCTTTCATAGTTGATCGGCGTTTCAGAAATGGCCAGCCGTATTTCAGTTGGAATTTAGACAGCAACAACAACATAAAACAACCAAGTGACCCCAAATGTCAACTTCACTTACCCTTCGGCATCGGAATCAGCCATTTCATCCAAACTAAAAGTTCAACTTTGATATGAAATGATTTCAAACCACGCCATCCATTTTTCCAATCTTACCTCAATTTATTCTCAGGCTAATCTCGCAATTTCAGAAAAATCTCCATGTGCTCGGATGTTATTGGAACTTTCTTTAACCACTATGAACTCAATGTAGCAACGTTTACAGAAGTCGAAGGTTCCATGATTGCTTTCTACGTTTGGGTTAGAGTTCTAGGTAATTTCCCTAAATGCTATACTCACTTGTGGTCGAACTTGCGTCTTTGTAGAGCGCTCATGTCTGCGGTGGCTCTTTCTCTTTCCCTCTCTCTGCTGTCGGCGTCTGTGAAAAAGTCATTAAGTATGGAGAACTCCGCCGTGTCTCTCCCTTCCATGCCCACACTATCCGACATCAATCCATGCGATTCCTAATTCAACCAATCAATTCGAATCACAATTTAATAAGCCCAAATCGAAATCACTGAAGTAAGAGAAAACTTATTTCAACTTATTTTACCATGCCAAGTTCAAAGCTATTGCAAAATCTGACACAGGCGAATCGGACCTCCGCACCAGTTGCAATTCACAAATGATGGAAACAACAAAAACAAAAAAAAAACATTTTCAAAAACTTAATTGGATATCAATTCGAAATTTTGAATATGACTAACATTTTTTTTTCGAAACTGTCGTTTTTTTCTGCGTGGTGTGATAAAAGGATCTGAAAAAACTACAACTTAGGCATATTCTACAGTCGTAGGAAGATAGGCAAACTGGACAACAGTTTTTGAAGAAAAATGATAAGAAAAACAAATCCTATAAAATCCTAATATTCGCAGAAATGTTTTGGCGCTAACTTTACACCATTAAAACAGCTCCAGTAAGTTTTCACGGCTTTAATTTAAGCTTTAATAAGCTATTGTAAGCCTGAACTGCAAGTTCACCTTATTAGCTCGAAAAGACCAAATATCAAAAACTTCAAACCGGTTTTTCTCAGCACTGATATTTGTTTCCAAAAATTCGAATCACGACTGAAATGGCTTAAATATGATCTATTACTCGACCCATTCTAATGATTATTTGCGGTACCTCATTTTGCGTGGAAAACAAAAAGAAAAAAAACCATCGGAATAAAAAATGGTCGGAATAAAAAACTAAAACACAGCCGAATACAAAGTTCGTCCCCATTTTCAATGGTCGGAACAAAAAATGATTACTACCGGATATCGCCCGATGAGATCAATGAATAGATGAAGCAACTGAGCCAACATTTTCAGCCGAATCCTTGATAACAAAAACTCAAAATACTTTAAGTGTGCGACGACACGCGTGACTCAACTTGGAAAGTGATCTGGAAATGTAAGACAAACCTGGTGTAATAAGTTTAGTGATGGCAGTGAAGCAAATGAACTAAGAAAAACTATCAGAAAGCATAATATTTTCGACATGAAACTTATAAAACAGTGAAGAAAAGATGTGAACCTAATTAATCAGCAGTCACTCCTCCTTCCATACCTGTTGTACAGTGTTGTCATTAGTGTAGTGGTTGTGTGTGTAGACGGAGTGTGAGGTGAAGTTTGAGAGGATGAAGAAGGCGACGTCGAATGACTCCCAGTAGAGAGCATGTGTGCCCCTGACTCTGGTGACCAACTCAATGAACTCCTCGTCCTCCCCCTCCCCACTCCACAGCTGCAGGTCACTCCTGCCCTGGATGTCTACACACACAATCACATGAAAAATCACAAGGCAGCCTTTAAGATTTAAAGAACATGAGGAAAAGAGTCAATGAGCGTAAGTAAACTGAAACAGACTTAAACAGATACCCTTAAGGCTCTTTGAATTTCTAGGACAGTTAATGACTGCCACTTATTCGATAAAATTAACCAAATTTGAGAAAACTGGATCAATACTTAAATTTTTGTATTTCGCGGGGAATCTGAAAACTAAATTCCATTTTCGAAACACGTTTAAAAGGCCACAAAAGTCAATCACGTTTTTCGTGGCATTTCAACTTTCACTGTTCGATAGTGGAGTTGGCCTTCCTTCAAGGAAACAAACTGAACTTAGAAAAATTCAAAAGTCAAATTGCGAAAAAGTAAATTTGAGCCTGAACAAATTTTGAATTAATTTACCGTACAAAACAAAAGTTTTAATTATTTAAAATTGACCAGAGGGGTTCCTGAAGAGTAGTTCTACTCAACAAGCGGGACCCCTGAATGGTGAAACGAAGCGTGCTAAAAAAGGCGAATCTTACATATCAGTTATTGTTTGATTATCGTGAACATATAGATGCAAAAACTTTTTGAGAAAATTTGGTTAGCCTGTAATATCCTTTTTGTCACGGTTTACGGGCATTGGCAAGTTTTTCTGCAAAAAATGCATGCTATTAATTGGAAACATATCAGAGACTTGTTCATATAATTAGTCTGACAAGAAATATATGGCAAATTGCCTTTAGCTCTTCTACGTGTTTGATACGCATTTGTTCTGAATTCAATATCAAAACTTCCCATGCCGTTTTCGTCTTTTAGGACTTTTCCTGAACCAAAAACGAAAAAAAGATCATTGCGATTTACGAAAGAGACTGAACTACGTTCATCGACTCTTAAACAAACAAAAACGAAAAAATAAAAATCTTTTTCAATTATTTAAATCATTTTTGCCCAAACTTTTTTTTATTTGTTTCTTAAAAGGGCTTATCAATTTATTGGAAAAATGCTAGAAGGAGTGGTAATATAGCTGCAACACTAGAATTGAAATTGTAGAATTGAAATTGAAGGTAGCCTTTGTCTTATTTAGTCTGAAAAACAAGAAAACTCAGACCAGGTTTTCTCGACACTGCGAAACCTCTTTCTTTTAAAAATCTAGATGGGATCCTAATAACGGCTAAAATGGCTTCAAAATGACACTTCACTTGACGTCTTTGAGATAGTCAAACTCGGCTGAAAAAAAAACACACCATGTCATAGTTCTGTACTGCGTAATTCTTACCTGGAAACACATCTAGCTTTCTGTGTCTCTCACTGCCCCTCTTGAACAAGTCTTGGTAAGACGTCAGTTTAAAGGGAAGATCTCGACTGTCATCTGTCAACTGTTCATTTTGTCCAATCAGAATAGGTTCCAGTCTCGCTGAACACGAATCTTCGGCAAAGAATAAATTATAGAGAGGGAAAGTGAGTCTCGACTGATTGCCTCTGCCGTAAAACGAAAGTACGAAACCCAAAGAGGATCCAAGATAATACACATTGGATATTGGGAACGCATCACAAACGCTAATGTTTGGCATTTTTTGGTTAACTTTACTTGCTGGAGAAAACCCTGTGAGAATATCGTGGAACAAAACAGAAGCTAGATTGTCGCAAATAACTGATACTTCGAAATCAACATAATCTCCTATTTCAGATTTTAAATTCTTGATGTATCTTTCAATATCAGTTGAGACTTCTTCCACAGACTGAGAGTAGCTTGGTTGTTTTGGCATGAAAAGAGCCGCGGTTGACATTGCGACTGTATGCGATCCGAACTCAAGTGGTTCGGAATCGAAAATATCTCTCGATCTGTAACGAGCGTGACCTATATTTTTTTCGGAAACTTGTGACATTTGTGTTTGCAAGTCGCATATGAGCCCCAAAGGCAGCGAGAATGATTTCACGATGGTCGATTGGGGTTGTGAGTGGAAAAACCTCTGCAGGATTTTGAAGATGTTTTCCCGGAAGAACTGTTCGTAGTCGGAGAATGATGTCTTGTCGTATTTGAACAGACTGTCGGCAGAGAGCAAGATTAGGACATTTTTGCCAATTGGTTCAGTCGAGAGGAAAGACTCTTCATGGCTCTTGTCCAGTGCAAATGACCTAAGAGTTAAATATTGTCAACCTCATTGTAAGATTTTGGCTTTTATTGTATATACCTTGGCGCAATGAATGGTGCTCTCGATACGTAATACAATTCTAGAATGAATTTAAGATGCCAACATTTGACAATTTACAAGGGTTAATTCAAACATATCTCAGACCATGGAATGCTTAGGGCAACAAGGAAAATCTACCATGTCCATCTTAACACAATATGATTTGACAGAATACGGGTTTAGTTGTAATCGCCCTTTTCAGTTAACTAGCAAAAAAAAACGAACAAGAAAATGAAACATTATATCCCCATTATCTCACAAACTGTCAAAAAATAGATACAACTTTATGAGTTCATCCTAAAAATATTCAAACAAATCCAGCCATGGGACACCAGTTCACAATGAAACAAAAATCACCAATTGGAAATATTGAGTTATGACCGATGTGGTTAACTCATGGAGTAATTTCGGATAGGGTACACCGTCTGCTCGTCACGCTATCTTATTTTCGGCCGGATAGATTCGTGCAACTTCTTAGTCTAATACCGATCCTAATCTTACTCTTATACTTTCTTGTCTCAGGGTGTTTAACTAGTCTCTGCTAGGCTCAATAGATCTAGGGTATACTGGTTTATTGCGGCTGCTGAAGTTCTCTTGGAGAGGCAACTAATTTCTAAGTTAAATTCAAATCTCTCTGGTGCTGAATTAACAAGTAATTTCAGCACCTACAAATAAGTGGGTTGTTAGTTAGATGGATTATGATTGGTTAATATTAAATATTTTACAGTGGTAAAATATCCAATTTATCCAATTATAAAATGTAGTTTAGATCAGGTTCCACCCATCCGGGTTTTACAGAGTTTTTTAGAATTATCTTTCTGCAATTCGAAGGATGGATGATGAACGTTGGTATTTGGCGAACAACATTCTTGTCCGGTTCCTCTTTGTCGAAGAAGTTCCAGGACGCTGGAGTTAGGGACATACAATCGTTGCGTCGTCTTTTGACAACGACTGTGATCCCCAATGAAATCAATCTGATTTCAAAATGATTTGCTATGACGGGTTTTTCTGTATTATGTAGAGAACTTGTTTTGTGTTCAATCTCGTCTGGGAATGGCGTGGAGATCGTGTGTGGAAGGGATGCCTCGTAACTCGGATCTGTACGTATACTTGAACATCGAGGTGTTCATTGGTCTAGTTCAATGAAGTCCTTTTCTGCGAAGTCAAGTCGTACTCTAAATCCTTTGAGTTGTGATTGTGGACGGCATATCGGTTGTGCTTAGCCATTCTTTTGTTCGAGTGTAATGGGATCATCTAGTCTTTGGATGTTCGTCTTTGTTGTTGTGTATTGATCTATATACTGCAAAGTATGGTTTACATTTTATAAAATTATCTTAGCTTAGTCCAATTTTTTAATCATGATTTTAGTTAATCGTTTTCACAAAAGCGTTTTGTTTTAGTTTGGTTATTTTGAAGAGTTACTCACCCTTGAGTACCTCTTATTAAAAATAGAAGTGTGGTCAAAAAGCGTGGATGTAGCGCGGTGGGTTAGGCCGGCTATAGAGCATGCTCAGGACGTCCTCTTTGGTGGGTTAGGCCAGGAGTGGGAGTATGATTTCGTGCTGTTTCTTTGAGAGGTCCTGTTATGTGATAACGCTTCATGCTGGGTTTATGTTGGTCTTTCTTATGTTACTTTGGTCGTGTCCTTTTTTCAAAAATCAAATTGTTTTTGGTATGGGTTTGTCTTGCGACTTTTTTGTGTTTTATTATTTCTTTCTTAGACTTTATAATAGTCTTCAAAAGAATAAAGTTTTGAACTGGGTTAATCCAACTCTTAAACAAACAAAAACGAAAAAATAAAAATCTTTTTCAATTATTTAAATCATTTTTGCCCAAACTTTTGTTTATTTGTTTCTTAAAAGGGCTTATCAATTTATTGGAAAAATGCTAGAAGGAGTGGTAATATAGCTGCAACACTAGAATTGAAATTGTAGAATTGAAATTGAAGGTAGCCTTTATCTTATTTAGTCTGAAAAACAAGAAAACTCAGACCAGGTTTTCTCGACACTGCGAAACCTCTTTCTTTCAAAAATCTAGATGGGCTCCTAATAACGGCTAAAATGGCTTCAAAATGACACTTCACTTGACGTCTTTGAGATAGTCAAACTCGGCTGAAAAAAACACTCTGTGGAAACTGCTAATATGCATCTGTCATATAATCGTGGGATAATTATGTGAAAAATAATACACTAAGTCATAAAATTAATAAGTATAATGAACCTGTCATCCGTTCTCCAGATAACCTGGGGAATAAAAGATTAAGTGGAATATAAAAGTAATCAACCAGGAGGAGCTGTCAAGATTCCCCTGATATCTCGTGGAGCGGGATAATTAACCTGTCAAAGATAATCCCCTCTTGACAATTTTCCCAAGATAACCTGAGGGAAAATAAATAACATGAAATAAGAATTTAAAAGATTCTTTCGAGAAAAAAGAATATTCTGTGATATATTAGTTTATGACCCCATACTCTAAATCGAAACTAAATTTTTGTCGAAACTTACCATCTGAAACTTACCACCAAATGTTTTGATTTTTTTTTCGATCTTTTAATATAAAAATGTTTTTCAAGATAAAAATGTATTTGCAAGTAAAACCTAAAATTTCAGAAATCTTTCTGAAACTTACCCTCTGAAACTTACCGTACCAAGTTTTTGTAAGACATGATAGCCCTTACATATCACAAATCAAAAAAGTTAGCTAAGAAACGCAACTATCGGCAAAATCGAGCTCAAAAAATTCGGGCGCCAAAAATTTTTCTGAAACTTACCATCTGAAACTTTACCATCTAAAACCTGCTGTCTTCATACAATGGGAAACCTACTCCCTATCCTAATACATTGGGATATCTATTCCCTATCTTAATTAATAGCTTGCAGACCGGATGCTCTATTCCCTTTAATACATGGGGGTCTGCAACCACACCCCCCCTGATCAACTCACTCTTCTACTACTTATGTAATATATTTGCTGATATTATATTTATCTATTTCACGTTGATGTAAATCACTTTGGTCGAGTGCACCCAAAGATTGTGTGCTATTAATATTAACTAAAATCCAGTACTTTATATTATAGTTTTCTTATTAAAACAACCACGCAACAGCCTGACTACAAAGCTATATGACACAGCTTCCAACCCAAAAAAATGCTATCGAATACTACTTTGCGTTACTATTATGCATTATCTTGCTCCAATAACTTCATTTTGACTTAAGGGTTGTATAAATTTCAAACATCATCGAACATTCCGTCATTGAAAACATTTTGAAACCTAACTGTTTCATCTTCATAAAAAATATGCGAAAAACTCGATTGCGACATAAATGTCTCTCTATTCCACTCGGATTAAACATAACTTTCTGACAGAACCAACTCCACCTTGTGTTTCAGTCCCAGCAAGCACTGAAAACTTTGAAGAAAATTGGTGGAAATTCAATGGAAATTAAAGAGCAAGCATTACTGTTGCCCATATACCAGAAGCACAAAATCAGAAAGCTAAAAACCTAGATGGAAAAAGCTCTCAACTTCTATTCAAACTTTCATGAAGCTGCGCAAAATTAGCTTGAACAGTTAATTTTAGTAATTTTAGGTAAATTTTAGTATTTAAACCTAGGGTAACATGACATGACACAGGTTAGATTGGAAACTAGGATTGAATAGTATTAGATAGGATCGTGAAGGGTAGGTTGCAATACGCTGATATATCGGGGAACCGAAATTAATGCACTCAATCAAGTCAAAAGGAAGGGTGATATTACAAATCAGATATACTTATATTTGGCTTCCAAATAAATTTTCTTTAAACCGAATATCACGTGAATGTACCCCTCTTGTGACTGGCCTGTAGCTTCTGTCCCATCTGGCTCACAGTCTAAGATAAGCGTGGAGTTACACAGCTGCTGAGAGAGAGCATCGAAGAACTCGTCGTCTTTGTCCCTTTCGTCCTCACCCTCACTCTCCAGATCTGCGAAACTCTGTGGCCGAGGAGTCCCTCTCCACTTCACAACCTCCTTGTTCCGTAGCATCTATCTGAACAGATAGCTTGAATTGTTAACAGGACCCAGAGGTTAAAGAATACAAGCTTTTTGATATCAGTTTGCAAATCAACAAATAGGATTAAGTAATCCAGGCTGGCTTCTAAACACCATTAGATCAATTAAAACAAAGTAAAAAAATAGTTTAACACAGAGGCGAAGTTGCACTTTGCATACACAAGCAAAAACATGACCGATAACGCTGTTGGGAAAAACTGAATGAGTGAAACTTTGAGTCTACAAGGTTTCTGAAGTGACGCACGACAATTATGAGTCTACATAATTGCTGAGTGACGCATGCCAATAATGACAAATTAGCAGTCAATTCCAACAAAAAAGAAATTTACCAACTAACATGCCTCAGTTTATAAAGCGGGCGCATTTTAACTAGTATACGAAAAAGTCTATTAAAAGCATCTGACCTTGCCCAGGTTCGAACCCTCTTATTTTGTTGCTGGTCTCCTTACCTACCTCTACGCTACAGATCCATGATAGTTTGAAGCTAAAGTGCTATTTGTAATAAATAATATTATGTTAATATCCTAGCATGGGCTGTACTTAATTGCTGGTTATTGATCAAAATGAAAACTTTCAAAATGAACATTTTGTCGCAACAATATTTGAGTCACAACAATATTTGCGAATTAGGTTCGGAAAGGAGAGTTCATACTATCACACAAGCTTTGCTTGTGTAATGATACTATAAACCACCAGCAAACCCATCCGAGAAATTTTATCGCTCCTCAAAAGACGTAAGATGAGGCAAACATGACGAATAAATGGATTCTCCAAACCGATTTAAATTTCAAGCAAAAAATTATAGGGAAAAGTTGGGATTGAGTTACAAACACCGTGAAAACAAATTTCGAAAAAGATCGAAGTTGCACTCCGCGAACACAAACGAGAG